CGGGCCGCCCTTCTTCACTTTGTCTTTCTTTTTGGCCGCCGCGGAGGTGAGCGCCAGCAGGGCGAGGAAGGCGAGGAGGAGGAAGCCTCGGTGCTGCATCTCGCTGGCTGCCCGCGATGCCTCGCTCCCTCCTGCGCTGGCCCGTCCCGCTCAGGGCGCTGCGGCCCCCAAATTTCTACATTTCTTAAAAACAAACAGAAAACACGAAATACTGTCATCATCATTGCAATTATTACCGTGACCATTTCTATTACTACCTATGGGTTAACCCAGTCAAGTTTTTCTGCCCATAAAGGTACCCACTTGACAGAAAATGACGTGGAGGGGTCGTGCTTCGCTTTGGGGAAATTCCTAAATCCTTCTGGGAACCGCTGGCACCCTGGTGAGCCCAGGTGATATGTCAAAGTCCGCTGGACAGCCTTCCTCAGCACAGGAGAGGGGGAGGGGGGTGGAGTCTGCGGGGGGGGGGGGGGGGGGGGGGGGGGAGGAGAAGAGATCTCAAACAACATTTGATGGAGAAACTCACAAAGCGAAGGACAGTCTATCACAGTGGTTCTCAACCTTCTGGCCCTTTGAATACAGTTCTCATGTTGTGACCCAACCATAAAATTATTTTCGTTGCTCCTTCATAACTGTCATGTTGCTACTGTTATGAACCGTCATGTAAATATGTGATATGCAGGATGGTCTTAGGCGACCCCTGTGAAAGGGTCGTTCGACCGCGACCCACAGGTTGAGAACCGCTGGCAGGTTCACTCTGCTCTTACCCACTGCATCGCTGCCTCCCTTCTTGGGAGCCCCGTCTCAGTGTTGGCACTTTCGTTCTGCTTGGAGGCCTTTGTTGAACCATTACTTACAGGTGTGCCTACCAGCAACACGTTCTCTTAGTTTTCCTCCATGTGAGGGTGTCCTTGTTCCCTTCATTGCTGAGGTCTGTGCGGTGGTTTCACAGACACAGGGTGAGGCTTGGCACACTTTCTTTCAGCTCTTCCACCTGGCGTTCCTCCGCCTGCTGCCTCCGCGCAGATGAGAAATGTGCAGTCGTGCACGTTGGTTTTCCCTTGTCGATAACGTGTCCTTTTGCTCTGGCTGTTTTTAGGATTCTTTTCTTTGTCTTTCGTTTTCAAAAGATTAGTTCTGATGTGTTTCGATAGGAATTTCTTCGGGTTTTATCCTGTTTGGAGTTTGCTCAGCTTCTCTTATCTGTAAGTTTATGTCTTCCACCAAATTTGGGAAGTTTTCAGCCATATTTAAAAATTTTTTTTAGTCTCTCTCTTCTCCTTTTCAGATCTCCAGTAGTAGAAATATAAGAACTTTTGCTACTGTCCCAGAGGTCTCTACTGCTCTATTATTTTTTCCTATTTTCTCTCTGTTGTTTACATTGAGTAAATTCTATTGGTTTGTCTTCAAGTTCACTGATGCTGTCCTTCGTCAGTAAAATTTCCATTTTACTAGTGAGTCTATTCAGTGAATTAAAAACACACTGAAACAAGCATGAAGCAGCAGTGGCGCTGGTAAATGCAACAGGTATAGGATGGTTTCCATGATTGCTCACCTGATTCTTCAAACTTCACTTGAAGGCTGAGAGCAGTTTCAGTGAAGAAGAGGAAGGAAAACGTGAAGCTGCATTTTTTTCTAGACAAGATCCTCACCTCGTTCTTGACACAATATCATTCCTTTTAGAACAGGCAGCGTATCGCCATGGGAAGCCAGCAGCTTTGCAGCAGCAGGTAGAAAACATTCATCTTAGACAAGACAACGCAGAAGCATTTGCCAGTGCTTGGTCTTCCACGGGCTGAGAAACAGTTAAAAAATTCAGGCAGAGCAGTCTCGCTTCCCACAAGCTAGCGACTGCCGACTGCCTGCCGGATGGCAGCTCGATCCTCAGAGGGCTCCCTCTGCCCCAGCAGCACAAAACCTCCTCACGCTGGGGCACAGCCGGGGTGCGAGAGGAGGATGAAGAGGGTCTGGAGGGAGGTCCTGTGGCATCCGGTCACAAGGAGCCGTCGGATTTCTGTAACAAGCGAAAGGCCACCCGGCACAGCTGGGCTCCCTCCCTGATGTCCTCAAAGACTGGTTTCCCCGTCACACTCCTGCCGCCTCATTGTCTTGCTTTGAAGATAGAGGCCAGGCTGTTTTCTGAAGGAGTCAGCAGTGTTCTTCTTGTGAATTAAGTGGCTCATCACTTCTGAGACTAGTAATAGCCAAGGGGAATCATTTTCTGAGGACTGGTTTCTAATAGAGAGGGTGTCACAAAGAAATGGATGCATATGCCGACTGCCATTTTAATTCCAGTGGGTTAAATCTGAAAAGAAAGAAACATCAGTTGAGCTATCAGCTATTAAAGTGTGTATACGTTTTTTGGGGGGGGCACCCTGTATATTCTCTAGTTCCATGAGCCAATAGCAAGCAATTGTTAAGAACATTTTTGCTTAAAAAAAGAAAAGAAAAAGTATTTTTTTTTACTGTCCTATTTTTGCTTTATTATCTAACTAGTTTATTTTTTTTATTTTTATTTTTTTAGTTTATTTTTGATATATTTGAGGACACTACAGGTGTCAAGGAGGGTCCATGGATACAAGGTATAAAGTGTACCTTAGAATACAGAACTTCAGTAATTACATTAATAAAAATAAGAAAGCAGCCACATGCAATCAAACACATTACAGTATTTTTCTTTTAAATATAATGAGTGTATTTTGTTTTGGAAATAATACAGGAAAGAAGTGAAAAATAGAGCTAGTAGTAATATATCAGATAATTCGTGTGAGTTTCTCTGTGCACTTTTTAAAAAAAATATATCTTTATTGATTTCAGAGAGGAAGGGAGGGGGAAAGAGAGATAGAAACATCAATGATGAGAGAGAATCATTGATTGGCTGCTTCCTGCACATCCCCCACTGGGGATAAAGCCCAAAACCCAGGCATGTGCCCTTGGCTGGAATCGAACCTGGGACCCTTCAGTCCACAGGCTGACGCTCCATCCACTGAGCCAAACCAGCTAGGGCTCTCTGTGCACTTTTGTTTTTTCTCTGAGTGTAGTGATTTAATTATAGTCCAGGGCTTTGTATGCCTTTCTTTGTACTGCAGATTAATAATGATTCGCTTTGTAGCGTCGGAGTCAGATTCAGATCATGGATTAAAAGAATTATAATGAGTACTAAGTGTGTATCCTTAAAATTTCAAAACAGATAACTTTTACATTCTCTTTCTGTAAATATGTTAATTTCAGTCAATAAAATTTTTGTCTTAGCATTACTTAAAAAATAACAGCTTTATTATGATATGATTCATATACCACAAAATGAATCTTTTATTTCGTTTTTTAAAATATATTTTTATTGATTTCAGAGAGGAAGGGAGAGAGAGAAACATCAATGACAAGAGAGACTCATTGATTGGCTGTTTCCTGCCTGCCCCACACTGGGACTGAGCTCAAAACCTGGGCATGTGCCCTGATTAGGAATCAAACTGTGACCTCCTGGTTCTGAGGTAGATAGATGCTCAACCACTGAGCCACACCGTCAGGCTATGTTGGATGCTGTTCTGAAATCTTTTTTTTTTTTTAAAGCTTTTTTAAAAAAATATATTTTATTGATTTTTTACAGAGAGGAAGGGAGAGGGATAGAGAGTTAGAAACATCGATGAGAGAGAAACATTGATCAGCTGCCTCCTGCACACCCCCCTTTGGGGATGTGCCCACAACCACAGTACATGCCCCTGACGGGAATCAAACCTGGGACCCTTCAGTCCGCAGGCCGACGCTCTATCCACTGAGCCAAACCGGTTAGGGCATGTTCTGAAATCTTGTCAGATAATTCCAACATCGAGTTCACCTTGGCACTGCCATCAGCTGATTGTCCTTCATCATCAAATTGTGTGCTTCGTGTGGTGAGGGATTTTCACGTGTATCCTGGGCATTTTGGTTATGGTGTTGGGGAGACTCCTGATTCTTTTCAAATGTTCTGTTTCAGCAGCTGGTCACCTGTTTCAGCTGAGAGTATAGGGTTTGGCCTTCTTTTGTGGTCTTTGGTTCCGATGACAGTTTAGTTTACAAAGCCCCTGCAAAACTACCCGGGCCCGTCTCGCTGTCCTGGTGCTGCAGCCCCTGCTCAGTCCCGGCGGGTCCCCAGGAGCCCGGGGTCGCTGGTCACTGTCTATGGGGGTGGTTTTCCTGCTGCTGTCGCTGCGGGCAGACAGGACCACTGGCCTGATCATGGGTCTGGGGGAAGCCGCCCCGTCAGCAGTTCCCAGCAGGAGAGGAAACCCACAGCTGGGCCCTCTGCGCATGCCTGGCGATGCTCAGAGCTGCCGAGGCCATTGGCTGCTCTGCTCACAGACCGAGAGCAGGAGCCACAGATAAGCCCTGGAAAGGCTCTCGCTGTCTCCACTGGTCCCGGGAGGCCACTGGCAGCCCCCACGCCTGTACATTTGACTCTGGGCTCCATCCCTGCCATTGCCCCAGCCCAGTGGCCAGAGCTGGCTGACGTCCCGGGGGCGGAGGGGCCATGAGGGCAGCTCTCTGGGCCTTGGGAGTCGGGCCCCTTCTCCTCACTCTCCGGGCAGTCCCCATCGGTGAGTTTCTTCTTCCTTCATCCACGGAACCTTCTGGAGGCAGTGGCTCTGTAGATGCCGAGGTGCCGAGTGTGAGGACCCCCTGCTCTGACCAGCTGCCTGGGTCTCGCTCAGCTTGGAGCGGGTGGGAGATCCTGAGGTAGGAGGGTATGTGGACTCCAACGTTCAGAGCAGGTCCCATCCCAGGGTGAACCCAGGGCCTCCCGTCCCACTGCTCAGAGCCTAGGGTGTGGGCTGGGTCAGAGCCTGGATGAAATGAGGGAACATGGCTGGGGTCTGGTCTCAAATCCTAGACTGACAGGAGGTGCGATGGGTCCAACAGGGGGCTGTTCCACCCCCTGTGCCCTGGAGCAGGGCTGGGAGGCGAGGGTGGGGGACGTTGCTACCCCTGGCGGTGAGGCTGAGCATCGGGCATGGTGCTGGGACATGGAGGACAGCTATAGCCCCAAGGAGACGCCACACCAGGCTGGGGGCACAGGGGTGTGGGAGCTGCTGGTCCAGAGGCCAAGAGGCAGAGTCCTGGGCAGGAAGCTGCAGAGGGGCCTGCATGCAGCCCTGAAGGAACAGCATGGAGAGGACGGAGGTGAGGCCGAGCCCCTGCGGGACCTGCCTACAGTAGCATGGGTGCGTGTGCATGTATGCGTGTGAGAGAAGAATGTGAGCGTGTGTGCATATGCATGTGAGTGTGCATTCGTGTGAGTGTACGTGTGTGAGTGTGTGTCAGGGCAGGGAGGCAGGAGAGGGTAGCAGCATTCGGTACCCTGGAAGCTGACAGAAGAAAACGTCACTGCCCAGGCTGACCCGGGGTCCAGCGAGGAGATGACTACACAGCTGGACAGAGGGGGCACCCAGGTGGTGGGGTGGGAATCTGGTGGCAGGGAGGTGGGGGCGGGGGAATGGCACCAGGGGCCCTGTTGTGTGTTAGGGACACAGGCACTGGTGCAGTTCACAGGCTGGGAGGCCGGGAGGAGGCGCGGGTGGAGCAGTGCCACGATGGCTGAGGGCCCCAGCGGGAGGTGGGAGGGCCTGCTTCCTCCGGTCCCCGCGGGCAGCCCTGGTGGTGGTCTGGGGTGACCCAGGCTGGGACGAGGTGGCCCCCCTCTCAGGAGTCCTGGGGCCGCTGTTTTATTTCCCTGCACCAGCCCAGGACTGGGGCTGAGGGTGGAGGGTCAGGGGCTGTGATGAGGTGGGGGTTGCCAGGGGCTGAGGAAAAGACCAGGGTGCGGAGGCCTAGGAAGGGTGTGGCTGGGGGCAAGCTTCCGGGTCACTTTTCTAATCTGGCTCTACCGGCAGCAAGGCCTTGGGGGTGGCCCCAGGCAAATGCAGAGGCCATCATCACTGGGCTCACCCTCCACCTCCCCTCCCCTGGCACCCAGTGGTCTGATCCACTGAGGCTGGCCTGTCCCTCCGCAGGCGGACCCGGCAACCTGAAACTGGCGAACAGATACAGTGAGTGTGACGGATTGGTGCTGGTCCAACACGAGGGTGTGTGGGGACACGTGTGCAACCAGGAGTGGACGCTGGCGGAGGCATCGGTGGTCTGCAGGCAGCTGGGCTGCGGCCAGGCTGTGGGGGCCCCCAAGTATGTCCCGCTGCCCCATGAGAGGCGGCAGCCCGTGCTCCACAACGTGTCCTGCAGGGGGGACGAGTCCTCCCTGTGGGAGTGCAGCCTCGGGGCGTGGACGCAGACCCAGTGCCCCCACGAGTGGATGGTGGTAGCGCTGTGCACCAGTAAGTCAGTGCTGGGACCGTGGGCGAGGGGAGGAGGAGGGAGGGGGGGAGTCAGGGGATGGGGTGTGGGAGGGGAGGGGGGATGGGAGGAGAGGCAGGCAGGTCTGTGGCTCTCTGGGTGGGCTCCTTTTGGGCACAGGAGCCCGCCTGGCCCCTCTAGCCAGGCCCAGTCTCATCTCCATTCCATGTCCTTGCGAGGCCCTGTTCTAGGTGCTGGGCATGCAGCTGGGGATAACCCGCACCTTCCCGCAGGGCAGAGCTGGGCTCCCGGGGAGAGACAGAGAAAACCAAGGACCCAGTAAAGCAGCAGCTGGAATGAGGAGCAGGGGTCGGACAGAGGGGGGTGGTGGGGGGGACCGCCCGGTCTTCTAGACACTTGAGGAGGCTGAGGGGCCCACGTGGGTATCTAATCAGGATTTCTCACCCAGAGGCAGGGTGTCTGTCTGTGGGCACTTAGGGCCCCGCCTCTGACGCAGCCCCACTGCTCGGGTTGTGGGGTGCAGGCGCCCTTTTCAAAAACGAGTAGGTTGTCAGGAGCATGACAGCAGCGCATCACCCCAGGCACGGCCCCTCTGAGGGGGTCCTTCTGAGCGAGGGGCCCTGTGTGACTGCCTGGTCGGAAGGGGCCCTCAGCCCAGCACTGACACCGAGGAAGGAGCAGGGCCTGCCTCTGGGGCTGGGACCCCGGGCGGGTGGAGAGCCTAGGAGCTGCCCTGCCCAAGTGGAAATGTCTGTGGGGGTGGCCGCAGGCCCCCCGTGAGGCGGGGACAGCAGCGGCTGCCCCTTCTGAGTGTGGCTCGTGCTTTCCAGACGGTACTTTCCGGGAGATCCGGCTGGTGAAGGGCCGAAGCCCCTGCTCCGGGCTCCCCGAGATCAGGAACCTGAACGGCATTGACCGCCTCTGTGGCCTGCATGAGACGGAGGCCACAGTGTTCTGCCAGGAGCTGGGGTGCGGCCCCGCGCTGCAGGCTTCCCGCCAAGATGCAGGCACTGGCGGGAAGTACATGACTTGCCAGGGCACGGAGCCCACCATCCGAAACTGCAGACTCAACAACAACCTCCGCAGCGGCTGCGACTTCCAGCAAGACGCAGAGGTGGTCTGTTCAGGTGAGGCCACCCCCACACCTGCCCCCTTCCCCTCGCGGACACCTGTGCTGCTTGCTGCTCAGAGGAAGTGGAGCAGGTGAAGGGGAGAGGGGGGAGAGAAGAGGAAAGCGCTGAGTCAGAGGTGAGAGGGCATTGCCCACATCCACCCCAGAGTAGGGGCAGGCTGAGGCAGTGCCCTGCGGCCTGAGGGCCTTGACGTTGCCTCCAAGATTGGACAGGGCCTTGATGCCACCACCTGGGCAGGCGCAGGCTGTGACATGCATGGACGCCTGCAGCAGGTGTCTCTAACCTCTGTCCTGGGGGAAGCACCCAGGGACCCTGCTTTGTTCTGCGTGCAGGGCGCACCGGCCTCTGGCTGTCAATCTGTCCACTGCTTGGCGGACGCACTGCCTGGATACAGAGGACCTCCTCTGGCTGGAGCGCCCTGGGGTCCAGGGAGATGGCTCCAGGTGAGCTGTTTACCTGAGAACACCGGCTCCTGACTGAGAATTTGTCTCCTCCCCCAGGACACATTGAGGCCCGGCTGGTGGGCGGCGAGCACCCCTGTGCTGGGCGCCTGGAGGTGAGGCGTGGCCTGACCTGGGGCACCGTCTGTGACCAGGACCTGGACCAGGCCACAGCCCACGTGGTGTGTCGGGAGCTGCAGTGTGGCATGGCCGCGTCCACACCCCCGGGCGCGCACTTCGGCCAGGGCTCTGGGTCCGTGTGGACGGAGGCCTTCCGCTGTGCAGGCAACGAGTCCCTGCTGTTCCATTGCCCTCGGGCGCCTGGGCACCAGTGTGGGCACAGCCAGGACGCCGGGCTCAGGTGCTCAGGTGAGGCCGGGAGGGTGGGCTCTGAGGCTCCCCTGCCTACTTTCCCACCAGCCTTCCTCTGGGATTCCTCCTGGGTGTTCCAACCCAGCGCACAGAGATGCCTCCAGCCAGGAGGGTGTCCTGTTCCAGTTAGAGGAAGTGGCTGCTGTGGGTTGAGGGGAGGGGAGGAGAGGGGGGTGGGGGCCTGGTCCTAGAGGAATGTTCTACCCCAGCCCCCCCAGGGCAGGCCACGAAGTGTGGGCTTCTCTGCACAGATGTGTGAGCCAGTGCTGAGCCTGGGGAACAGGGGGAGCTGGTCAGAGCCAGGTGACAGCTCGGTGGCCACCACACTGGGTGCAAAGAGAGAAATTGCCCTTTGCTGGGTGTCCGGGTCAAAGGGAGCCTGACACCCCGTCCCCACAGAGTTCCGGCTGGTCAACGGCAGCAGCAGCTGTGAGGGGCACGTGGAGCTCCAGGTTCAAGGGGCCTGGGCACCCCTCTGTGCTGCCCACTGGGACTTGGCAGACGCCACCGTCCTCTGCCACCAGCTCAACTGTGGCAGTGCCCTGGCCGCGCCCCAAGGAGGTCACTTTGGGCACGGAAGCGCTCCCCTCTGGCCCGACAGGTTTCACTGTGCGGGGACAGAGCCCTATTTGTGGAATTGCCCGGTGAGCACCCTGGGCGCCCCCGCCTGTGCCCCGGGAAACTCGGCCTCCGTGGTCTGCTCAGGTGGGTCAGCAAGAGCCATGGGCAGAGGGGCTGGGAGTGGACGGGGCTGAGGCGGGGGGCGGTCCTCTCCCCTTTCCAGGCCCAGGGTGCGGCCCCTGGCCCTGCCAGCCCCTCCCACGCCCCGCCTCTCTCCCCAGGTCTCCGCCACGCCCTGCGGCTGCGGGATGGGCAGAGCCGCTGTGACGGCCGCGTGGAGGTGTCCCTGGACGGCGTGTGGGGCCGCGTCCTGGACGACGCGTGGGACGTGCGCGGCGCGGGCGTGGTGTGCCGGCAGCTGGGGTGCGGAGAGGCGGAGCGGGCCTACGATGCGGCCGCCCCGGGGCGCGGGGCCGGCGTGGGGCTGAGCGGCGTGCGCTGTCTGGGCAGCGAGGCCCGCCTGGCCCAGTGCAACGTGTCCGCGTCGCGGCTGGTGCCGGCGGGGACCTGGCGGGACGCGGGCGTGGTGTGCGCTGGTGAGTGAGGCCCCGGCCCGCGCCTCCGTCCGCCCGGAGCCGGAGCCGGGCCGCGCTGACCGGGTGTCCCCGCAGGGAGCCGCCGCGTGCGCCTGGCCGCGGGGCCGGGCCGCTGTGCGGGGCGCGTGGAGGTGCTGCACGGGGGCGCGTGGGGCACCGTGTGCGATGACGGCTGGGACCTGCGGGACGCGCACGTGGTGTGCAGGCAGCTGGGCTGCGGCCACGCGCTGGGCGCCCCGGGGGCGGCGCACTTCGGGTCCGGGTCCGGGCGCATCTGGATGGACGAGCTGGGCTGCGAGGGCAACGAGTCTGCGCTGTGGCGGTGCCCGTCCGGTGGCTGGGGCCAGCACGACTGCGGGCACAAGGAGGACGCCGGCGTCTTCTGCTCAGGTCAGTCCCGGGAGCTGAGTTCTCTGGGCAGCGGGTATCTGAGGGTCGTGGTGTCTTCGTGGTAACAGCGCGCACTGGCTCTTTGCGGGCTCGCTCCTGTGTCCAGGGCCTCCGCTCTTCCCCGCAAGGAGAACTCCACAGTGGATGCTCGGTGTCCTCCGGCCCCGGCCCCGGAGACGCTGCAGGACCAACACCTTTCCCTGTTGGCGGGCGGGGCCTGGGGTGGGGGGTGCGGGGGGTGCGGCGGGGAGGGGCGCCTGCTCCTGTGGTGCCGGTGGTCCTGGAACTGCAATGCCTGCGGTTTCCCCCCTTCTCAGGAGGTCACCTCACACTCCGTCCGAGTCCCCCTGTGCCAGCGCCTTTGGGTGTATATTTAACACTGGATTGCCCAAGGAAGTCATTTTGACTGCTTTTTAATTTCAATTAGAAAAACAATTATGTATATCAGGACACAATGTCTTAGAACTTTGTGACTTTTTGTACAACATATAAATGTGTTTATTAATAATTGTAGTTACCGCCCCCCTCCTTCATTTCCGGTATATATATATGTGTTATACCTATATTGCCCAAAAGCAGTCATTTTGACTGCTTGGGGGGAGGGGGGGAATTTTAAATAATCAAATGACTATTATTATTTAATTGAGTAAATTTCTTATATGACCAGTTCGGCTCTGTATTGAAATAACAGTTTTCATTTTTTTTCGATTACCGTCACATGATAACATACAAGTACATGATAAATTGTCGATACTTGATAAGTTGCAGTTGCTCAATAAGCTAAACTAGTGTTATTCGAATCTTTATGCAGTGATACTTGTTCTAATAAGTTGTTTACTTTATTTCTTTTGCGCCCTAAATTCATGAAAGAAATGTCGAATAGAAGTGAGTTATTGGAAAAGCTAAGGAACATAAGTGAAGAGTGCGCCGATATTATTCTTCCACAATGCAGTCATTTTGACTGCTTTTGGGCAATATAGGTACATACTAAATTTCAGTCTTTCTAGTGTTAATGGGCTGCAGGACTTTTTCCAGAGTATCTTTAAGGCTTTTAGCTCACACACATCTGAGGCTCTTTATGGGGTTCTTGTCTGGGTGTGATGGTGGTTGAGGGACAGAATTTTGCCGCTGATTGGGGGCGTGAGCCTGGAGACGCCTGGGGAGGGGTTGGGTGTCCAAGTCTGATCTCTTCTTATTGCTTTTGGTTCCTATTTTGCTTTAGGAAAGTTTTCCTAAACTATGTTTAGAAGATTACATCTATTTCCATCATTCTGTTGTGTGTGTGTGTGTGTGTTTTAATTATTATTTCAGAGAGAGGAAAGGAAAGGGAGAGCCAGATAGAGACATCAGTGATGAGACAGATCCTCCCACCCCCTACTGGGGACCAGGCCTACAACCCAGGCATGTGCCCTGACTGGGAATCGAACCATTGACCTCCTGGTTCATAGGTCAATGCTCAACCACTGCGCCACGCTGGCCAGGCTGTCATTGTGTTTTTCATGTCCTTACAGTTCTTCCTCTGACTGGTGGACTCCCCAGGCAGCTGCTGCTGCTGGGGACCAGCTTGGCAGGGGCGGGGGACGCTCTGTTTCTGATAGGACCGAGCCTGGCAGCAGGGCTCCACAGCAAGAGGCCCAGGCGTGGAACGGCACGGTCACTCCTGCCCACTCACTCCGTTGGCCAGAGCCTGGAGGCCAGACTGGGTGGGCGGGGAATAGGCTCATTCATTGCAAGGAGCGTGGACACAGGCAGATCTGTGACCACCTCTGTAATGTGTCACGGATGTATTTCCTTCCCGTGTTTTCTCTAAGCCTATTTTAATCAGTTATGACTGTCACATGCAATTCATACCCAACTTTCTTCATTGATCCTGGTATATAGATATATAGGCCCTCATAACAATTTTAAAGGATTGTCTAATACTCTGATATGTGGCAATATTTAGTCCCCCTGTTGGAATTACACTGGCCAATGGTATTATGACGGTCCTTGGACACTGGCCAGCCTGGACTGGTGCTGTGTCCCAATGCTCTGGGCTAATTCCTTTTTTCTTTTTTTAAATTTTTATAGTCACTGCTAAATGGGTCATCTTATGCAAAAGTATTATTTTGTATTTCAAATAATTTCCAAGGTTGGGTTTCTAGACAATCAGCTGGCACACCTGCTAAGACGTTACAGTTTGGGCGTCACGCTGGTGGCCTGTGCTTAACTGCTGGCTGCTTCCTTAGGTGGGAGATGGCTGTGGGGGTGTGGGGTCGATGCCAGGGCCTCTCTGGTCCGATGGCTTTGAGCGGCATCGGTCTCAGTGCTGGGGCCCCTCCTTCAGAGACTTCCCCTGGCCTGACTGTTCTTGTCTTGCAGAGTCTGTGGCCCTGAGGCTGCAAGGGGGCACCCAGCACTGTGCTGGGTGGCTGGAGGTGTTCTACAACGGCACGTGGGGCGCCGTATGCGGTAACTCCCTGAAGGAGAACTCCTTGTCCATCATTTGCAAGCAGCTGGGCTGTGGGGAGCAGGGCTGGCTGGAGAACAGGCCCGTCCTCACTGGCCTGGGCATCTCCTGGGTGGACAACATTGAGTGCCGCAGGCTGCAAAACTCTACGCTGTGGCAGTGCCCCTCAGCCCAGTGGCATCCGCACTCCTGTGCCCACGGAGAAGAGATCTGGATCACCTGTACAGGTGGGCCCCTGGCGGTCTCTGGCGGGTCTGGTCACCCTCAGGGGCTGCCACTGACCCATGGCTGCGGGCCCGGGCATCCCTGGGGCTTCACAGACTTCATTCTGAAGCTTTTCGGGGCATTTACTCTGGGACGGCCCCTGTTTAATCCAATAGGATTATCAGCAAAAACGACGCAGGACCCCGGGGAGACCCTCAACTGCTCAGCCACCCGCAGCTGCCCAGGTACTCCCCTGCCCCTCTGCCTGCCAGGCCGCACCCCAGCCCCGCCCTACAGTGACCACAGCCCCCTTTTCCAGAGGAAGGCTCGGTGCGCGTGAGCGGGGGCGAGGACAGCTGCTCCGGCCGCGTGGAGCTCTGGCACGAGGGCTCCTGGGGCACCGTGTGCGACGATTCCTGGGACCTGGCGGACGCGGAGGTCGTGTGCCGCCAGCTGGGCTGTGGCAGGGCCATCAGCGCCCTGGCCGGGGCCGCCTTTGGTCCAGGCTCAGGGCCTGTGTGGCTGGACGAGGTGGGGTGCCGGGGCAGCGAGGCGTCCCTGTGGGGCTGCCCAGCGGAGCCGTGGGGACGTGCGGACTGCGGGCACAAGGAGGATGCGGGCGTGCGCTGCTCCCGTGAGTGGGCAGGAGGTGGGGGGGGGGTGGATAGTTGGGGGCTGGGAAGGGGGTCTCAGGAGAGCTCCTCTGGCGTGTCCCCCCACTGTGGGTGCTCCCAGGGCCCCGAGGCTGCCCCTGTGCTAGGTCGCTCTGAGGGGTGGGGCACAGGCTGCCTCTGTGGGAGTTCAAAGACATGATAGGCTCAGGCTGAGTGGGGCTGGGGCGCTGCTCAGAGGGCCTGGGCTGCTCAGGGCTATGGCCGCCTCTTCTTACTCGCCCCAAGGTCTGGCCCGTTTCTCCTGCAGGTGACAGAGGGACCACGGTCCGCCCACCAGCATCAGGTAGGTGTGCTCTTCCTCACCCTCAGTCCACACGCTCCGGTCTGACCCTGACCCAGAGGAGCTTGCAATGGGGTTACAAGGAGGGGCGCCCTGGAGTCTCCTGTGGGCACCTGTGCCGCAGTCTGGGGATGCTGAGGTCATCAGGGGCAGGGCCGCAGTGCCGGAGATGCCCTGTGGTTGGAGGAACACGGCTGCCCGTCCTTGTGCCAGCCGGGTGGAGAGCCGTGAGGAGGGACAGCAGGCCTGGGCCCTGCCCTAGCTACTTCTGGGGTCTTTCCCTTGCCAACTGGAGGTTTTGGCCCTCGTGTGTGCTGTGGCCTCTTAGAAACGTGGCTATGTCCAAAGCACAGGTGAGGGCAGTGGCTATCAGGACTGTAGGAGCTGCCCTTCTGCCCCTCCCTTCTGTGCCCTCCCCCTTGGCCCTGAGCTGTGTGACCCCCTCAGGGCCAACTCTGGGGGAGGAGCAGGACAAAGCCCATCTCTCCTCTGGGCGCCCCTCCCCCCACTCAGGTGGTCCAGGCCGGAGGTCACAATTCCCCAGGCAGTGCAAGCGCTCAGGGAAGACCCGCCTCTCACTGTCCCTACAGGCCCTGCCTTGGCCCCACTGCCTTCCCTCAAGGCTGGGACCCTGCCCATGATCTTCTGCTTCGTTCTGGGAACCCTCCTGGGCTGCGTCTCCCTGATCCTGGGGGTGCAGTGGTACCGCAGAGGAGCCTGCAGAGGTAGGTGGTAGGCATGGCCTATGAGGGTGACACAGGGCCTGGGGATGGGAGGGCTGGGGGGCACACTCTGCGCGCCCAGCCTGTCGCAGGCCCTCTCTGTCCTGGTCACTGCCCTGCACGCTGGGTGTCACCCGATCTCCCCTGTGATGACTTGTCGGGGACCCACAACTTGTTGGGGACAGGGGGCTCTGGGCTCTGCTCTGCTTCTCAGAGGAGCTGGGTGAGAAGATTCGTGGTCCTAGGGCTGCCTGGGGTGGGACAGGCTCGAGGGTTCCCCATTCCTGGGTCACCTGAATAGCTGGGGAGCTCTCTGGTCTTGGGTGCCCACAGAAGTGTGTGTTCCTTGTGCTCCTGATGGAAACCGAGGCAGGAGGAGCTGAGGGGTCGAGGGTCCCACCCTGCGTGGGGCCGGCAGCTGTGGCCTTAGACAGCAGCAGTGTCAGGACTGCAGGTTTGGGTGTGGCCTTTGCAGGTTTTGGAATGTTGGGGACTCGGCCCTCGGAAGTTGTTTATGAGGACATTGGAGCTGTCCCCATGGGGGAGAAGGTCGAAGGGTCCAGTGTGCCCCAGGACCTGCTGCCGGAAGAGGACTATGACGATGCCTGGGAGCCCGAGCCAGGCCCTGAGGAGCCGGAGGAGGAGCCGGAGGAGCCGGAGGAGGGGACGGCCCTGAGCTCCGTGGGTGTGCACCTGTGCGCCGCGGCGTCCGCTGTGCTTGTCCTGCTGTACTGCTCCTATGTCCACGGCTCTGCCCTGGCCAGCGCCTACATTTAAAGATCCCAGGAGCCCCCTCTCTGTGTGTCTGTAACCCTCACTGCTGTCGGGCTTGGGCTTTGATACGCGGCTGTCCCTTCAGAGTTGCTTGTTACCCTTATGAGCAGACGTGGCGTTTAGGGAGGGCCCTAGATTTTTATTTGGGCATCTTTTCATGGCTGTGCACAGAGTCCTTCCAGAACCCTGTTCCCAGTCAGCTTTGGGGGGAGCAGATGGTGGGAGGAGACACTTGTGAGCACCGCTTTACTCTCACCCCCACTCGCTGTCCATCCTTGTCTGCCCCTCTGGCTTTGAGGTGCAATGACCAACCAGGGCCCAGACGTCCTGGAGGCTCCGAGGAATTGCTGAGAACACCATGCATGTCTCTCCCCTTAAGTACAGGTGGACTCCGCACCCTCCGGGCCCCAGAGTGCAGGCTGGGACGGAAAACCAGCCTCCGGGCCCCAGAGTGCAGGCTGGGACGGAAAACCGCGGTGGCCCCGGCTGCAGGATGCGATGCGCAGGAGCTGGCCATCGGGGACACCAGCAAGACTCCTGGGAGCTTTCATGTTTCTCATTTCTAAAAAAGATTCTATTAAACTCCCTTTGAACGCATTCATCCATCCATTCGTTCACCTCAGAACATTCCCCAGACATCCACCGTGGCCAGGTTCTGTTTTCAACCCCCCAACCCTCTGCCTCGCTCTGGCCTGATATGGGCTCTGAGTGTTTTCAACTCTCCTCACCCACAGCCTTTTGCCTGAAGGTTCTACAGGGTGTGGGGTGGGCTCCCTGTGAACCAGCTCCTGGCCACTCTACTCTCGCCTGCAGACAGCCCTCCCCCTGGCTCAGGTGCTGTGCCAGGGTCCCCAGCACCCAGAGCTGTCCTGCCCTGATGACCCACCAAGCCCTTTGTGACCACACCTCCCTGACCACACCTCCCTGACCACACCTCCCTGGCCCCTCTGTGGGAAGTGTTTCTCTGTGTCCTCTTCCCTGTGTGGGTCTGGGATAGGTTCACACATGACCACATATCTGACCTCTGCTGACTCACTCTCCCACGTAAATGTCTTGGGAAGGACCAGGTTAAATCATCCTGTGAATCCCTCATCTATAGGGTCTCCCAGTGATGGCAGCGATTACCGCCCACCTCTCAGGGTTCCCTTGAGGGTCTGGCCAGCAGGCTGGGGGTTCTCTCTGAGCACTGCCTCCCACCCCCAGATCTCCCCCTGTGCCCACCCCCTGGGCTGTGAGAGAGGCACAGCTTGTGCTTTCCAGGACCACTATGCTGCAGACGATGAAAGTCAGTCCCTTCTGGACAGGAAGCCTGGTGAAGGAGATGGGGTCATGTCCACAGAGGTTGGACGGGGCCTCTGGGGTGAAGTGGGTGAGGAAGGCTAGTTGCCGGGCCCTGGGAATATGGCAGGAACAGCTCCTGACAGAGCCTTGAGGCGACAAGGAGTGTCCTGGATGTCTGAGCTCACCTTGCACCCCTGTGCACACACACAGGAGCCTCCCTCTGGCCTCAAGAGGTGGCCAGCCTGGCTCGCGGTGCATGCTGGGTGTTCCCGAGGTCCGAGCTGGGTGCTGGGCCAAGTGCATGGCCAGGCTGCGGTGTGGGAGGGGCGGAGCCTCAGCACAGAGGGTCCTGCCCATAGGGTCTACCTCCCTCTCGGGAAGGGGCGGAGGACCGAGCTGCCCTCTCTTAAACTGCTTCTCTGGAAAATCTTTTGGAAAGTAACTTTCACTGATGATATTCTGGTTAGAAAATAATACACATGATTATAATTTTTTTTAATATCTCTTTATTGATTTCAGAGAGGAAGGGAGAGGGCAAGAGATAGAAACATCACTGATGAGAGAGAATCATGGATCAGCTGCCTCCTGCATGCCCCCTAGTGGGGCTCAAACCTGTGACCCAGGCATGTGACCTTGACCTGAATCGAACCTGGGACCCTTCAGTCCGCAGGCCAACGCTCTATCCACTGAGCCAAACCGGCCAGGGCATGATTATAAATTTTAAAACTCATGGAGCCAAGGAAGAAAATGAACTGCCCGCCTCACACACACACACAACCATGCACAATGAAATAAACAAAAAGAAAATGAAAACCGTTATTCTCTCCGGAATGAATACATCCACTCTCCTTGGTTTGTATCCTTTGAGAACTTTTCTTTGAACAGAGGCACAGACATAAGCATGAGCTACAGCGATGCATCGGGCGCACATTAGTGCTTCCTGTGCGTTTCCCACCTGAAACACGCGCTAACCTACGCACTCGTCAACCGTCATTGTGAAAGGGCTTCCCAGCCTTCCTTTCTACGCGTCTGCCGTCGAGTGCTGTTCCAGGACTCCCTCCTCGCAGACAGGTGTCTGCCTCCCTTCCTGCTGCTGGTCGCAGGTCACGCACGTTCCTGCTGGTTTTGGTCCAATTGCTGGGTCCTGATGACACATTGAACGATCCGTGTTCATCCACACGCCTTTTGTGTGAGGCAGAGAGAGGTGCGTCTCCCACGGTGCCAGCTCCTGGCTCCAAGGTGGTTGTCGCCCGCCCATCTCTCACCTGGCCCTGCAGGAAGTCCAGCCCCGGCCTCGCCACGTGCTGCGGGGCTGCTGGGCCCAGGCCTGGTGTCTGAGCCTCTGCTCCACGTGACAGATGGTGGCACTGATACGGGGGAGGCGGGCGGGGCTCACGGGCTTCCTTCTCAGACGGCTCAGCGCTGAGCTGGAGTCCACCGCCTGCGCCGGTGCGGAGCACACCTCCCGGGCCTGAGGGGGCTCAGCAACAGAGGTGCCCAGGGATGGCATCGTCCCCTCTGCGGCTGTGGCCCCTCCTCCTGGCCTGCTGGACCCTCCCTGCGGGTGAGTGCTGCTGGCCTGAGGGCTGGGGGCTCGGAGGATGGCCTGTCAAGGGAGGGGACACTGTCGCATGGTGCGTGCATCCCGGGAGCTCGGCCGGGGCCTGGGGTGGGGCTGTCTCAGCCCTTTGCAGGCGAGTGAGGATGGCCCGTGCACGTGGGAAAAGCCACGGGGAAAGGCCATTCCTTTTTGTTACCATTTTCTTTCGTAAATGTCATCTACCCCGAGCGTGAGAGAACGAGGAAATTGAAGTTAAAAGGGTACAGATTAGGAGGGAAGGCGAAAATTCGATTGCAAATTTTTGAAAATTCTGGACAAAACGTTCTCGAGCGGGCCACGCACGACCTCCACCTCCCTGTGTTCTGTCCCAAGGCCCCGCGGCGGAGTCCGTGGCCCTGCTGAGAGGCGGGAACCGCTGCGAGGGCCTGGTGCGGGTCCAGCTCGGCGGCCGGCGGGGCCCGGTGTGTGGGGACCACTGGGGCCCGCAGGAGGCAGCGGTCGTCTGCCGGCAGCTGGACTGCGGCGGGGCCCACGTGGCGCCCACCTACGTGATGTGGCCCCAGGAGAGGCAGCCCTCCTTGCTGCAGGGCGTGAGGTGCCAGGGCTCGGAGGCCTCGCTCTGGGACTGCGCCCCGGGGTCGTGGGAGAAGCCGGAGGGCTGCGCGTGTGAGTGCATCGGCGCGGTCCACTGCACAGGTAGGAGGCGGGGCATGTCGGAGGCAGCCCCTGGGTGGAAGCCCAGGACCCAGGACTGTGACCCTCAGGCCCTCGTGGCATTGTCCTGGCCCCATAGGAGCAGGGCCCGGGATGGCCCAGGTGGGGGGCACTGTGCTTCCCAGCTGCGGGTTGCACACCCAGGGCAGCCCTTTCGGGGTTCATTTGCCTCCTCCCGCCAATGGTCAAGCATTGGGCCCCAGGGGGACCACACGAGAGAAAAGGGAGCCTGTTTCCCTCTCCCACTGGCCCCTCTGCTCTGGCGGGGCTCCCAGGGCGCCCAAGTCCCAGAAGCTGGAGTGCTTGGAGCTCAGTCCTGCCGTCCCTGTTGGAGGCCTTCGGGCAGGAGGGGGAGCAGCCACCCCTCCTGAGGGATCCTGGGTGGGAAAGAATTGCCTCTGCAGAGAAACCCAGGGCTCTGCCAAACCCTCTGTCCGGGAGCCGCTGTGTGCAGAGTGGGGTGCGCGCCCCAGGCCGGTGGGGCTCAGGTGAGCAGCAGGCGGGCTCCTGTGCTTCTGCAGGTGGGGAGCTGGCGAAAGTGGGGCTCAGCGGCGGAGGCAGCCCCTGCGCAGGGACCTTTGAGATCAGACTGCCTGGAAGCCCTAGTATGACGTGCGGTTTGCACGTGGAGGAGGCGAGTGTCTTCTGCAGGAGTCTGGGGTGTGGCCCCGTGCTCCAGGCGTCCAGACCCCACCGCACCGGGGGCTCTGGGGGCTGGGGACCTAAGATCGTGACCTGCCGGGGAACAGAGTCCAGCATCTTCAACTGCAGGTTCAATATGAACTTTCAGGACCAGTGCAACCTGCCGACAGATGCGCAGGTCGTGTGTTCAGGTAAGGACGCCTGGTTTGTGAGGGAGGCATCCTTTCATAGCTGTGTTCGGGGGACTGAAGGGGACATCCACTGACTAGAGAGGCGGGATGGGGGGTGGGGGATTGTCCACGCCCTGCCACCAGCCTGCATCCCTGCCCTGGGAGGTACTGGGTGCAGCTAGTGCTGGGGTTTAAACTGACCAAGTGACTAAAGTGCTGGCCGGACCCAGAATCCAAGTCAGGGGAGGGTGTGTGTGGGGGGGTGGGGGGCAGACGTGAGAGCCCTGGGCCCTTCGAGTGCATGGGCATGGGGGCTGTGCTCACTTACCCCGGCTTGGTGGAGCCCCAGGGGGTGGGAAATGAATGTTTGCTGTTGGAATAGGAGTGAGATGCCAAGTGATGGGAGGGTCCTCCCCACCTGCAGGTCCCACGTACCCCAGTGCCCCTCAGTGCTGGCCCAGCAGGTGGTTCTGGTCCTCCTGTCCTTCCTCCCCCTGGGACTGGAGGGCGGGAAGGCCTGCAAAGCTCCAGCCCTGCCCCTGAGGGGCTGTTTCAGCCCAGTGTCTGCCCCCAGGACACACTGAGGCCCGGCTGATGGGCGGCGAGCACCCCTGTGCTGGGCGCCTGGAGGTGAGGCGTGGCCTGACCTGGGGCACCGTCTGCGAAGAGGACCTGGACCAGGCCACGGCCCACGTGGTGTGTCGGGAGCTGCAGTGTGGCTCAGCTCTGTCCACACCCCGGGCCGCGCACTTTGGCCAGGGCTCTGGGTCCGTGTGGACGGAGGCCTTCCGCTGTGCAGGCAACGAGTCCCTGCTGTTCCACTGCCCTCAGGCGCCTGGGCACCAGTGTGGGCATGGCCAGGACGCCGGGCTCAGGTGCTCGGGGGAAAGTAAGTTTTTATGTGATTGTAAGGGGAATTGTCTCTTATTTTCCTTTCGGATTGTTTGTTGCCAGTCTATAGCAATACAACTAAAGTTTGTGTATTGATCCTGTACCCTCAACTTCCCTGAATGTATTAGCTTGAATCGTTCAATGTGGAGTCTGTAGGATTTTCTGTATAGATCATGTCTCTCAGGCCTTGATCACTATGAACCTCAGCAGATAGGTTTATGCCTCCTCTCCAACCTGAATGCCTTTTACGTCTTTTCTTGCCTAATTGTTCTGGCTGGAACTTTCAAGATAAAGTGGAACAGCAGTGGTGAGAGGAGTGCTGACCTGGGGGGAGGGGGAGGCGGGGGCGGGGAAGTTTTCAGCTTCTCACCATTGAGTATGCTAGCTTCGGGTTTTTCATAAACGCCCTTCATCATGCTGAGGAATGTTCCCTTCTTTTCCTAGTTCATTGAGTGTTTTTATCACGAGAATCTGTTGGATTTTGTCAGATGCTTTTTCTGCATCAACTGAGATGCTCATGCTTTGTTTAGTTTTTTTTAAAAAAATATGTTTTTATTGATTTTTAGAGAGAAGGGAGAGGGAGAGAGAGAGAGAGAAACACTGATGAGAGAGAAACATCGATTGGCTGCCTCCTTCACGCCCCACCCTGGGGATCAGGCCTACAACCCAGGTATGTGCCCTGCCTCGGAATCAGTGGTAACCTCCTGGTTCATAGGTAGATGTTCAACCGCTGAGCCACACCAGCCAGGATCCATTCATTTTATTTTTAAAGTCAATAAATTCTCTTCAGTTCCTTTTAAAATAATTGATATCTCTTTATTGAAATTCCGTATATCATGAGATATCATTAAACTGGTTTTCTTCAGCTCTTTGAGCACATTTAAGACACTTATTTAAGGTCTTTATCTAGTAAGTATAATGATTTAGTTTCCTCAGGGACAGTTTCTGTGTGTGTTTTTTCCATGTGAATGTGTCATAGTTTCTTGATACTTTGCATGAAGGAGACATTGCTAAATTACTATAGTATGGTTACTTTAAAAATCAGATTCTCCCACCCACTGTTTGTTGCTGCTAATTGCTGTGGGTCATAGTTGGTTGTTTAGTGACTTTTTACACCCTTTGTGTAAAGACTCTACTCCTTCTCGTGTGTGACCAATGAGGTCTCTTCTTATTTTATTTTATTTTTTTGTTATCTTAGTGGTGATAGCAATTTGACAGAGATTTTCTTAAATGCAAAACAAACAAAACATAAAATTCGTCCAGTCTTTGCATATTAGCTCTTTGTTGGAGCATAGCTTCAAGGCTGGGGCAGGCCATTTTTTCAACTCTGCCTTAGCATTCCTTCTTGCCTGGCAGAGCCAGACTTGCCAAGTTTTTGCTTCATTAAGTGTTTCTTAGTTGTAAGTTTTTGATTAGATACTAGAGTTTTCAAAAAAGTTGGTTATGACAGTTTTACAAGCCTAAACATTATTTATTTGTGTTTCAAAATTCATCTTTATTGTTGAAAGTATTACAGAGTCCCCCCCCCCATTGACCCCCTCCCCCTGGTTCCACCCTCTCCCCAGGCCGTCACCCACGATTGTCTGGGTCCATGGGTTATGCATACATGCATATAAGTTCTTTGGTTCATTTCTTCCCGTGTGCCCCCCTCCCCACCTCTCTCTGAGATTTATCAGTGTGTTGCATGCTTCCATGTCCCTGAATAAGCCTAAATATTACTTAGAGGAGAGGTGCAGTTTGGGGGTTCCCTTCTCTGCCATGTCTAGGGTTTTCCTTCCCAATTCCAGGGTGCAGCGTAGGTTGAGGTTCTAGTGATCAAGGCCTGAGAGCACGGCCGTGATGCTCTGCTGCTCCGGGGTCCTGGCGGGTCAGTAGAAGCAGCAGCTGTGCAGAGAGCGGGGTCTGCCTCAGTGTCCCCTTCCTGCCTGCACGGAGGCAGCATTCCACCACTTCGCTGCTCACTGGGATCCTGTTTCTGCTTGCACGTCAGGCTCCTGGAGAAGCTGATTTTGCCTGTTTCCCCAGGTTAACCATCACTGCAGTGGAGGGTGCTCCATCTTGGTGTTCTCTATCTGCCATTGACAGCGATGTCACACCCCAAAGATGTTTGCTTGCTCCCAGCTGTCCTTCCACGGTGCGGGAGTGGCTGTGTTGAACGAAGCCTGCACTAAGGAAGGGTCTGCAGGGTCGGGAGCAATGCTGACACCCTCTTCCCTCAAACCCCCCCACCCTAGGGTTCCGGCTGGTCAACGGCAGCAGCAGCTGTGAGGGGCGCATGGAGCTCCAGGTTCAGGGGGCCTGGGCACCCCTCTGTGCCGCCCACTGGGACCTGGCAGACGCCACCGTCCTCTGCCACCAGCTCAACTGTGGCAGTGCCCTGGCCGCGCCCCAAGGAGGTCACTTTGGGCACGGAAGCACTCCCCCCTGGCCCGACAGGTTTCACTGTGCGGGGACAGAGCCCTATTTGTGGAATTGCCCGGTGAGCACCCTGGGCGCCCCCGCCTGTGCCCCGGGAAACTCGGCCTCCGTGGTCTGCTCAGGTGGGTCAGCACCAGCCATGGGCAGAGGGGCTGGGAGTGGACGGGGCTGAGGCGGGGGGCGGTCCTCTCCCCTTTCCAGGCCCAGGGTGCGGCCCCTGCCCCTGCCAGCGCCTCCCACGCCCCGCCTCTCTCCCCAGGTCTCCGCCACGCCCTGCGGCTGCGGGATGGGCAGAGCCGCTGTGACGGCCGCGTGGAGGTGTCCCTGGACGGCGTGTGGGGCCGCGTCCTGGACGACGCGTGGGACGTGCGCGGCGCGGGCGTGGTGTGCCGGCAGCTGGGGTGCGGAGAGGCGGAGCGGGCCTACGATGCGGCCGCCCCGGGGCGCGGGGCCGGCGTGGGGCTGAGCCGCGTGCGCTGTCTGGGCGGCGAGGCCCGCCTGGCCCAGTGCAACGTGTCCGCGTCGCGGCTGGTGCCGGCGGGGACCTGGCGGGACGCGGGCGTGGTGTGCGCTGGTGAGTGAGGCCCCGGCCCGCGCCTCCGTCCGCCCGGAGCCGGAGCCGGGCCGCGCTGACCGGGTGTCCCCGCAGGGAGCCGCCGCGTGCGCCTGGCCGCGGGGCCGGGCCGCTGTGCGGGGCGCGTGGAGGTGCTGCACGGGGGCGCGTGGGGCACCGTGTGCGATGACGGCTGGGACCTGCGGGACGCGCACGTGGTGTGCAGGCAGCTGGGCTGCGGCCACGCGCTGGGCGCCCCGGGGGCGGCGCACTTCGGGTCCGGGTCCGGGCGCATCTGGATGGACGAGCTGGGCTGCGAGGGCAACGAGTCTGCGCTGTGGCGGTGCCCGTCCGGTGGCTGGGGCCAGCACGACTGCGGGCACAAGGAGGACGCCGGCGTCTTCTGCTCAGGTCGGTGCAGCCCCCCGGCCCGCGGCCCCTGCACGGCGGGCGGGCGGGTTCTCGCTGAGCCTCTCCCCCTGCAGGGCTCACAGACCTGAGGCTGCGGGACGGCAGCGGGCCCTGCGCCGGGCGCCTGGAGGTGTTCTACAATGGCACCTGGGGAGGCGTGTGCCGGACGCTGAGCCCTGCCTCCCTGGGCGTCCTGTGTGGCCAGCTGGGCTGTGGGCCGCAGGGACAGCTCCAGGCGGCGGTGGGGACCCGGAAGGCCCCCGGGACGCTCTGGGTGGCCTCCATTCAGTGCCGGCACAGGCACGACCTGTCCCTGTGGCAGTGCCCGTCAGCCCCCTGGGACCAGCATTCGTGCTCCAGCCAGGAGGAGGCCTGGGTGGTGTGTGCAGGTGAGGGAGCCGTGGGGCGGGGCGGGGGGGGGGGGGGGGCGGTCTGTAAGGATCGAGCCCCAGGGCTGGCCCGACATGGATTCCCTGCAGCGGTCATGGCGCAGCCCCTTTGCTCTAAGGCAGTGGTTCTCGACCCCTTTTGGGGTCGAAGGACCCTTTCACAGGGGTCGCCTAAGACCATCGGAAAACAAATATATAATTACATATTGTTTTTGTGATGAATCACTATGCTTTAATGATGTTCAATTTGTAACAATGAAAATACATCCTGCATATCAGATATTTACATGACGATTCATAACAGTAGCAAAATTACAGTTATGAAGTAGCAACGAAAATAATTTTATGGTTGGGGGTCACCACACCATGAGGAACTGTACTAAAGGGTCGCGGCGTTAGGAAGGTAGAGTCTAAGGGATGACGCTACCACCCTCACTTTGCCTTATAGTCCCGGGTGTGCTGGTCCAGCACGGGGAGAGTCCTTGCCCTGAGGGTCTGAGCTGGCGGGTCATCTGGAGTCTTCTGAGACCTCCTGACTCCCCCGCAGTGGGGAGCAGGACCCCTGGGTGCGCAGCTTCCTGTAGGGAAACGTGCTGCGGGGAGAAGCCCAGGCCAGTGTGGGGAATCCTCACCCTGCGTGCCTACCCCTCGGCTAAATGTATAGAGTCTATACCAGCCGTGGGCAAACTACGGCCCGCGGGCCGGATCCGGCCCGTTTGAAATGAATAAAACTAAAAAAAAAAAAAGACCGTACCCTTTTATGTAATGATGTTTACTTTGAATTTATATTAGTTCACACAAACACTCCATCCATGGTTTTGTTCCGGCCCTCCGGTCCAGTTTAAGAACCCATTGTGGCCCTTGAGTCAAAAAGTTTGCCCACCCCTGGTCTATACTATAGACCTTTCCTCATCTGAGGCAGGCATTCCTGGTGCTGGGAAGAGAACAAGGAAAAGTATTTCACAGAATTTGAAACTGCCAACCTTGCAAATATCCGATGGGTACTACTTTCCTACACAGAAAAGGCAGGAGGAACTCCTCCGGACCCCGGGGAGACCCTCAACTGCTCAGCCACCCGCAGCTGCCCAGGTACTCCCCTGCCCCTCTGCCTGCCAGGCCGCACCCCAGCCCCGCCCTGCAGTGACCACAGCCCCCTTTTCCAGAGGAAGGCTCGGTGCGCGTGAGCGGGGGCGAGGACAGCTGCTCCGGCCGCGTGGAGCTCTGGCACGAGGGCTCCTGGGGCACCGTGTGCGACGATTCCTGGGACCTGGCGGACGCGGAGGTCGTGTGCCGCCAGCTGGGCTGTGGCAGGGCCATCAGCGCCTTGGCCGGGGCCGCCTTTGGTCCGGGCTCAGGGCCTGTGTGGCTGGACGAGGTGGGGTGCCGGGACAGCGAGGCGTCCCTGTGGGGCTGCCCAGCGGAGCCGTGGGGACGTGCGGACTGCGGGCACAAGGAGGACGCGGGCGTGCGCTGCTCCCGTGAGTGGGCCGGCGTGTGATGGGATGTTTCCTCGCTGCGTTCTCTTGGGAAGAAGCTGAATTGCTGTGGTTTCTGCTAACATTTGGGGGACATCTCTTGGTTTTTACCCCCAGCTCATGTCTACTCCGGGGGAGTTGGGGTACCTTGTGTCAAGTGCAGTGTGGCAGCCTCATTCTGTTTGCAGAGAACAAAAATGACCACAGCAATCCCCACTGTGCGTGTCTCCCTGAGCCGGGGTAGCTAGCTCCCTGCGCCATGCCAGGGGGCCGGGGGGGGGGAGGGCGCTGCTCAGGAGCCTCTGTTTTGGACCCAGGATAGTCACTGTTTTAGAGCGGAAACCTCAAGCCCTCACCAGCACACACCAGTCAATCATGGGGTGCTTTGCCCAGCAGATGCCCCCTCAGCAGTTCAGAAGCACGTGGTGGCCCCTGAGGGTGAGGGTATGGGCCCTGGCGGCTGCCTTCTCCCCCTCAGCCACCACGAACCGCTCATGGTCTCTCCTTCCACAGAGCCTGGCCCTGCTCCCCTGCGGAACCCAGAGCCCTGCCCGATGCTCAGGGCGGTCAGCACCGTCCTGGGAGCGCTTCTTGGTCTTCTCTTTCTGGGCCTCCTGGGCCTCCTGATCCTGCTACGAATCACACAAGCCAAGCAGAGAGGTATGTGCACCCACTGGGTCCCGATGGCCAGCATGGCAGAAACCAGCGGAAACTGAACACTGGTGTTGGGGTCCCTGACGTGGGGTTTCACTTCGAGTGAGTGGCCTTTTCTTGGCCAAACAGAGTGACTTAGAAATTAGTCAGCCTCAGGCCCCTGGGACTCGGTGCTGACCCTAGGAGGTCCCACCGGGAATCCACATGGAGGCTCACTGGGCAGCAGCCTCAGGCCCTGCTGAGAGCGGCTGGTGGCCAGGGGTGGGAGGGCACGGAGGGCCTGGTCCCACCACTGTAGCCTCCCAGGCCCTGCCCAAAGCATCCTGCCTTTCTGCTGCCGGAGTGGGGTTCCCCCCTGAAAGTCCTGCCCCCGCCCCCAGCCCACGGACTCATCCATACCCGGGGGTCTGAGTGTGACCCTGCTCCACTCCTCCGCAGGCCTGGGAAGTTCGGAGGTGTCTCCTGGAGAGCCCACCTATGAAGTCATCGGGGAACTGCCTCTCGCAGGGCTGTACGAGGAAATCGAGGAGGAGCCCCAGGGTGAGGAGGATCAGGGTGTCTGTGTTCCCAGCTCCAGAAGCCAGGTGGGGGGGTCCAGCAGGTGGGAACCTTGGGGAGGGGGTGTGCTTGTGCTTCTGAGTGGCTGGAGCTCGCAGCCTCAGTGTCCTGGAGGATGAGCGTGACAGAACCAGTCATGTGCTGTGACCGGATGGTTGAGGCGCCCCGGTATCCAGATGCCTGGAGGTCTCTGTCAGGTGGTGTTTTTTGGTTTTGTTTTTATATTTTTATTGATTTCAGAGAGGAAGGGAGAGGGAGAGAGAAATAGAAACATCCATTGATCTGATTGTGCCTCCTGCACACCCCACACTGGGGATGGAGCCCGCAACCCGGGCATGGGCCCTGGCCAGGAATCGAACTGTGACCTCCTGGTTCAGAGGTCAATGCTCAACCGCTGAGCCACGCCGGCCGGGCTGTCAAGTGTTTCTGGTGGCATTGCTAAGCTTTCCTAACAAGAGGGACGTCATCAGGCCAGGCCCCTGGTGATGAATCAGACGTGGCTTCTGGGGGATCCGTGACCCGGCGCCTCGCGTGCCTGTTTCAGAAGGGGCAGCGAGCCTCACGGACGGACAGTCTGGACCGGAGGAGGGTTACGACGAGGCTGCGTTTCCTCTGGAGGAGATGACGCTGTGAAGACCTGGAGGTAGAGTTGCCGCTGACAGAGTGGAAAGCACAGTTCGTGGTTTCCCTTTACGATGGTGTTGAATCCAGAACACACAGGAGCATTTTGGGGACTGTCCTCAAGCCTCTAGGTGAAACCCCCGTCTCCTCCCACCCCTGTCCCCTCGCCCCCATTCCTTCTGGGAGACACACGCCTGCGGGCTTTCTGTGCATCCACAACACAAACACAAACGCCTGTAGAAATCCATAGTTATGTTTGCCATTTCTTTAACGACATCCGTGGTGAGCCCTGGTTGGTGTGCTCAGTGGTTAGACCATTGACCCTCGCACCTGGGTTGCAGGCTCAATCCCTGGGCCTGGCGGAGGCGTATGCGGGAGGCAACCAATCAATGTGTCTCACATCCATATTTCTCTCTCTCTCTCTCTCCCCTCCTCAGCCCCCCATTTCACTCTCTCTCTAAAAAAAAAAAAAAAAACAATGGAAAAATACCCTTGGGTGAGGATTAACCAAAAAAAACCCCAAAAAACAAACTTATTTGGCAACATCTTCAGGTACCACTCACTGGAGGGCTCTGTGTCACTGGGCAGCATCTGCTTTCCTTTTTTTTTTTTAATCCTCATCTGAGGATATGTTTATTGATTTTCGAGAGAGTAAGGGGGAAAGAGAGAGAGAAACATTGATCCGTCACCTTCAGTACTTGCCCAATCAGGTACTGACCCTGCAACCTAGGCACGTGCCCGAATCAGGAATTGAACCCACAACCTTTGTGGTGTATGGGACATCACTCCAACCCACTGAGCCACCTGGCTGGGGCTGCTGCTGCTTTTTTCTTGTAAACTCTCCTTAATTGGGTCCAAAGTGTCCTGTGGCTTTTCTACATGTGTAATCATGTCATCTGTGAATAATGACGGACCCTTTCCTTTCCTTTAGACCTTTAACCTCTTTTTTGTTGTGCCTTATTTCAAGGGCCAGGCCCTCGGCCCCATATCGAATGTGGCAGCACAGTGGCCACGTGCCTCCCGATTTCCTTTCGCCATTAAATACAGTATTGGATATGTTTTTGTGGTCAATGCCATTTATCAGAGGAAGGGAAATCAGCCTGTTGCCCATTTCCTAAGGGTGTTGGTTTTTATCATGAAGCGCTGACTTTAATGCTTGTGCATCTGTTAAGATTATCCATGATTTCCTCCCCTTTGTGGTCATTGTGGTGAGCTGCATTGATTGGTTTTCAAATGTTAATCCAACCTTGGGTTAAGCAAACTAACCTCTGTCATGACATATTTCTTATTCATTATCTCTATTACAGGAATCAGTTTGGCAATATGTTGGATCAATATTTAGAAGAGGGCTTGATGTGTAATTTTCCTTTTCTGTAAATGCTTCTGTCTCATTTCTTTTGGCATGAGGATAATTTAGGTGTCATAAAAATTAGGAGATTTCCCTTCTTTAAGAAGTAATTGTGAAATTTTGTGTGGCCCTCGTTTTATATCTTCCTTAAATGCTTGGAAGAATTTGACAGTGAAGCCATCTGGGCCTAGAATTTTATTTTCTGGGGAATTTTCCTTTTCAGATTTAATTTTTAAAACTGTAGATAATTGAATTATTTGTGCTTTCTATTTCTTCTTAGATCTTGTTTGTGAATTTCTCTTTATCGATGAACTGACAATATTATCTGCATTTTAAATTTATTGACATAAAGTTATTGATAATATCTTTGTACTATCTTTTAAATGTCTATAATACCTATACTTATGTGCCTTTTTTCAATGTCGATAGTGGTACTTTGTGACTGCTCTGTTATTCTTGATCAGGGTTGCTAGGGGTTAACCATTTCACTAGCATCTTCAAGGCCTTAGGAAACATGTGCCTTTGACTTCCTTCACTTCTTTAAATTGAACATCTGATTTCAGTTTCACTTGTTTCTGCTCTGATCTGTGTAATCTTTTTCTTTCTACTTATTGTAGCTTTTTGGTAGTGGTATTTAGACCACTTATTTTCCACATTTCTTCTTTTTAATGTGTACATGCAAATTTATAAACTTTCCTTGTAATGTCGCTTCAGTTACATACCAAGAGGTATAGGCTGTATTTTTGTTTTAACAGCTTTGAGGTTAAATTAGCATACAATAAACTTCATATATTTACAGTATGTAAATGGCGATAAGTCTTGACACACGTGTACATTCAGGAAGCCATCACAGCAATCTTGGGAGTGGACTGGTCCCCAAAGATTTTTCCTGTCCTTTTGTATGTCTCTCTCCACCCCCACAGCTAATCATTGTTCAACTTTTTGTCACTGTAGTTTGTACTTTGGGGAATTTATATAAGTGGAATTAATACAGAAGATACTCTTCTGGGTGTTGGGGGACCAGCTGGCTTTTGTTCACTTGGCATAATTATTGTGTTTAGAAAGTTTCCTTAGAAAATTTTGTTAATAAAGTTTGCAGCTAAATGTATAAGAGATACTGGTATTAAGTTTTCTCGTTATGTCTTTCTCTGGTTTTAATACAAGGTTGACACTGACCTCACAGAATGAGTTGGGCAGTATTCTTTCTTGTTTAATTTTACGAAAACGTTTGTGTTGAATTGGTTTTATCTATTTCTTAAATTTTTGGTAGATTTTACCAGTGAAGCCATCTAGGCCTGGAGTTTTGTTTGCAGGAATGTTTTTAACTACAATTTCAATTTTTAGTGGATATAAGCTTACTGATGTAGGGGGGGAGGCGGATTGGGAGATGGTGGAAGAGGCCATAGAGGGGATAAATGGTGATGAAAAAAAAAAAAAGACACTTTTTGTATAAGCTTCATTAGATTGTACCTTTCAAGGAATTTGTCCATTTTGTGTATGTTTCTGAGTTTATAGGTATAAAGTAGTTCATAATATTCCCTATTGTCCTTTAATATCTGTACAATGTGAGTTGATAATAATACATCAATATTCACTCATTAATGACAACAAACATACCATACTGATATACGGTGCTAATGATAAGGGAAACTGGGTGTGAGCCTCAGATGTACTTTTCGTGTGGTCTGCTCAATTTTTATGTAAATCTAGAAAAGATCTCAGCAGTAGTCTATTTAAAATAAAATCCCATCTTTCCTGCAGGGACTGGCTGTCTGCGATACATTGAGGGGAGAGACCTTTGGCAAGCCAGTGGTCAGTGAGCTCACGCTGCCCCCTGGGGCCCGAGGGCCCTGGCCCTTCTCTGTGCCCTTCAGGGTGCTGGCTGTGCTCAGCCGGGGACTGTGCTCACAAGGGTCCCTGTTTACCTGTGGGAGGGAGTCCCTGCTCCCAGCACCTCAGCGTCCACCCCAAGGGGACAGACTGTGCTTAAAGATCAGAAGCAAATGAAGGAGTCACCACTGCATCTCATTTTCCGCCAGAGTAAGAATTCCCTGCGTCTTCTCCTGAAAATGTGAACGTCTTATATTTAGACAGGAGACGATCCGGGGCATGCCATTACATTCCAATCTTGCCTTTTGGACAATCGTCCCTGATTTTCTTCTAGATGTTTCTGAAAAGACAAATCTGTTTTTGTCTTGACCTATTTTATTGTGGAAAAAAAAAAGTGATACCAGAATTGCTTTGCTATGCCTTTTACTTCCGTTTGAAATGGCAGAACCCCCAGGACCTCCGCACATCTGCTCATCTGTGGCCTATCTGAGCCAAAGATCAGCAGGAGGGGAACCAGCAGTGTGGTCTGGGCTCCAAATAGGTCAGGTTCTTTAAGAGAAGCCTGGCCCAGCAGGGAGCCTGTACCCGAGCCAGGCCCAGTCCTGCGCCAGGAGGCCTGGGGGGGTCCCGGGAGGCGGGTGCCAGGCAGGAGGTGGTGGTGTACAGGCCTGCGAGTTGGGTGGAGGGTTAATCAGGGACAGGGGGCTGCACTGAGCTGAGTCTGTGCCTTTCTTCCCTGAACCGCAGCTCCTGGCCCCGCCTGACCCTCACTGGGGACAAGCTTCCCACCTAGCCCAGGAGCAGAGGATGGCGTTAGAACCAGGAGCCAGGATGCTCCATACTCCGCCTCATGGGAGTCTTACCTCCTCGAGGAAACGGCCTAGAGTGGGCCAGGCAAGAAGGGGCAGCTGTGGTTTCCACTAATGGGCTGTGGCCAAGGATGACCTTCCCAAAAGAGCTGGAGGAAGGGACAGGGAGAGAGAGAGAGAGAGAGAGAGAGAGAGAGAGAGAGAGAGAGAGAGAAACCTCAATCAGCTGCCTCTTGCATGCCCCCTACAGGAGATCCCACAACCCAGGCATGTGCCCCGACCTGGAATTGAACTGGTGCCTCTCTGTGTAATGGATGGTGCTCAACCAACTGAGCCACACTGGCCGGGGCTAAAAGATTGATCATTTTAAAGTATCTATTTATTTTTAAAAACATAGCACAAATACTGTGGAAAGATGGCCCAAAGAGTTGAATAAAATCATTGCAACACATGCAACTGACAAAGGACCACGAAGCAATACGAAGCATTCCCGTAAGGACTGGACAGCAGAAACCCCGCCGACTGACGAGGAGAGCCCAACAGAAGCAGGCACTTCATAGAAGAGGCTACAAGCATAGAAGGAGATTCTGCGCTTCATTCATCATCAGGGCGATGCAAATTGGGGCCGCAATTAAATACCATTTTATACTCACCAGATGGGAAAAAAATAAGAATCTATTAGTATCAAGTGTTGGAGAGGCTGTAAATCAACAGGACCACTTTGTCTATTTTTCAGTTTGCAACTGGCATCTCCTATGGCACCTTGGTGAGCTGCAGCCACCAGCCAGAAGTCAGGAGGGCTCCTTCTTCAACCCGAGGGGCTAACCTTGCACACAGTGAAGTGCTGCTTGCTCCCCGTTCTTGCTCAACAGCTCAGAGAGCTCAGGTCAGAGCACACCTGGGTCACCTCCAGTCCCTTTGATGCGGGAACATTTGTTCCTGGGCCAAGGTGGCTTTGGACACTGCGATACTGTGTGTTATCTGCTTTTGTGTTACTTGGAAAAGATTTTTGGTTTTTGTCAAGG